ATTCTCTTCAGACGGTTATGATATATATGTGTCTCGGCACTGTTCACTCGCTCCCAAAGGGCCCTTACATAATCCAGCTTGGCATACATCAGTTCACTACCAAGTGGTGCAAAACCGGCCAGTCTATCAGCCTGCTTATTTCCTAACACACCGGCATGACGTGGAGAAAATATCCAAAGGATGCTAACTGCCGCTATCACCCTTTGCCTCCTAACAGAAGTCGAAATACCGTGGGAAAGTTACAATAATAGTCCTGGCTTGTTGCCTTCTTACTTCTTTCATTTTGAACTAGAGGCAACATTGCAGATATAGATAATCTAATATCAGCGAACGAAAGAAGAAGTTTAGTTATACCTCGATTTACAAGGTTAATTCCTTCCTGACTGTGGTTCATATCTTGAAATGTTCGTATCTCGAAACCCAATGTCCTTATGAATCTTAAGGAAAATCAGTTAATATTTTCAGATTAACAAAATAAAAGATAATAATAATAATAATAAATAATTATAAAAAGACTAGGATTTTCAGAGCGATGAACAAGCAGACAGACGTTTTACTTTCAGATGATCACTGACAGGCATACAGGAGCAATATTAGTCTTATTTCATCGGCCTGTGTCCCGGCAATGCTATTTTATTATTAATATTACTTGAAATTGTCTGTCTGTGAGGAAACGTAAATTGAATCCATGCTAAAAAAAAATTATGAATATAGACGAGGGGAAGACCAGGCACATGCTTGAACGACTGCATCAAGGACAACCTCAAAAGAAATCATGACAATTTGTACAACTCATTAGAAAGAGCATAACGACGTTTCCTCTGCCCAATACTTCACTAAGCTAACAGTAGGCATTCTTGCTTGACACCCAGATGGTCATATACCCGAATAACTTTGGGAATAAATGTTCTCAGTTCAACCAACAAAATAATGGGCACACATATTTTTTTTTTTTTTTTTGTAAGGAAACTTGTTTAGTACAGAGGAATGTTTCACAGGAGATGCCAGTAAAGACATATCCGCGATCAAAATTCATCAATGCAATACTTTCAAAGCAGCAATATCTTCTTCACTGCGCTCACTGCCTGTAAACTCTGGCGGAAAATGTTGGTTGTTCGTCTACTTCTAGACTGTACATTTATTCCGGAACTGGTGTTTTGCGTGAAGGTTCTTTTTTACCATATTGGGCTTATGTGTAAGCAGACTGTTAGTTCCTCGCAGTGTTGCCACTTTGGATGTTTTACATTCCTATTTAGATGTTTTTCCTTGCATTTAGATAGCGTTTTTAACGTTTAGATGGTGGATGTCTTTCTATAAGTTTTTCATTTGGAGTGAATTTATCAAATCTAACCTAAGAAACAGGATGAAATTTGACCTCCTAAATGCTATCTTGACAATAAAATTCGGCATGACAAGAGTATGAAAAGGCTGTTCCACTTATCAGCTCCCTGATTGGATATTGAGACATTAGAACAGCTAAAGCATTCCGGAGTCATTTTGGATCTGAAGCTTTAACTTCATCATCCAAGCTAAGTTTATCCCGTGGATCTTGTAAGGCAGACTTCAGTAAAGATGAGGACATGATTTTATAGGGTAAGCCATATCAATTGCTATGTAATTTGTGACTCTTTCCATTTGGATGTTTTTTTTTCTAGATGTTTTTCACGCAAATGTAGATGTTTTTAGATATTTTTGACTCCGTTTTGGATGTTTTTGTCAAAGAAAAGTGGCAACACTGGTTCCTCGCCTCTCATGCTGAGGTATTCAAACTCTGAAGGCAACATCCCTAATTAGTCCACTTTCACGACATGCTTGTTAGAGGGCCGTGGTTTTAATATTGTCCACATACAATGGGGTCCAGGAATCCACAGGGGAGAAAGCAGTAACACGAGTATAACAATAGCAATGACCATTGGACAAGCCACATTTCTTGACTGTATTCTGACAAAAAAAGTAAGAGAAGATATCAAGCTAGTAAGGGGATTCAGCAGTCAGGCTGGCTCACAGATCATTCGTTGTCTGGGATATAAAGAGTTGAGGCGACCGACTGTCTTCTGACAGTATCACAAATTAAAGGGCTGATAAGTTCATGGAACATAACGTTTTAACACATTCGACCAAACAAAACTCAAGATGAGGAAAGGTATTCTTTTCTGTTGCTGGTATTTTATTATAATTTTGAAGCACTATAGTGTATGTTGGGAAGTGCTTATCAGTTCAGATTGTGTCGCCTTGACACAACTTCATAAACATAGATAGATGTTCCTGGGGTTTAGTCTGACCTTTCATTCCCAACTTCATTAATTAAATAAGACAGACAAACATGCAGATAGACGGATCACTAGATAGACAGAATGATGGATGGATAGATGATGGGTGCATGGACAGACGGACGGGCAGACAGGGAGAAGAAAAAAAGGGGGATTGGTGGGGGGGGGGGGAGAGAGGGGGGTTGTGGAACGCGAATTTTACTTTTAAAGGCTGTAAAATAATCTCCTATGACAGTGAAATCAGGGGGAACAACGTTTATTTGATCTTCAGATTCGAACACTCAAGTGTATGAATCCTTACGCTAACCTTGGCTACATGGTAAAATACGTGAACAGGCAAAGCTGCAACAAAGCACAATGTACGGCAAGGGCGGCAATAAGTCAGGGTTAAACTCATGGGAGACAAGCTGGAGAAGTTACAGCAAGAGCCTGATTATTGAGTTGAAAGAGAAATTGGCAGACAGGCGAGCTCGAACTCTGACGGTGCTTGCAGAAAGTGAGGACGTGACAGCTTTTAATGAGATTGATACCGAAAGCGACGGGCTGGAGGACACAAGCACAAACCTAACCAATAACGAAAGTTTGCCAGCCAAGGATGATACACTGCAGCGCGGGCAAGGGGGTGAAGTTAATTCTCTGTCTGACACCAGTTCGCTCACAGATTCTGATTACAACGACCTAGACATTCGACACGACGTCCCCAAGAGTTCTCCAGGAGCTCGAAACGGCGAGCATTCGCACTGCTGTACTCGATCATGCTCTGAGATTACCTCGGTCTCTGGCAGGTCTTACACATCACAGGATGTCAGCTCTAGAAGTCTTGACGATTTTGTTGCCGAAGACAACGCAGCAGATGGGAGCAAAGAGAGAAACCATCAGTGCCCTCACAGCGTGGACGTGCGATGTTCGATGTGTCTGATTGAAAGAAAAATACAGGAAAGGTATCCTTCCTCAGAAGTTGCTGCTGAAAAGTATTATCATGTAGTTTCTCATAAAAGACAAAGAGCCCATCATAGCCAGAAAGTGTCGAAATATTCTCTTGATTCCAAGGAAAGGGCAGGGCAATTGTTTGGGTCTCATCGTCAGAGTTATATGAAAGCCAAGAGTGATACGTATTTGTGTATTGCCTTGGGGTCTGCGGTAGTTCATGTTGATTCACACAGCTCCATTGCTGGTGTTCTAATTGCCCCGGCATTGGATGAGGTGTACAACCCTGCAACTGATCGTCAAAGAAAGACATCCGCTAGCAGTCTGATGTCATTTCCAAACTTGGAACTCGACAGTCCCTCTAAAGGTTCAGAAAAAGCGTCGCACAATGTTAGCACTGTTTCCCCTAATCCTGTCAAAGGAAATGCTGATAGTCTGCATGAGTACTACCCGCAGGTAGAGGATTATAATTTCTTAGAAGATGTAGTTAGTGATAAAGAAGAAGAAGAAGAAGTGGCAATGTGTGATAAAGACAACGTGGAAATGACTAGCGACGAAGAAGAAGAGGGAGAAGAGAAAGACAACATGGAGGTGGCTAGTGACGAGAAAGGAGAAGAGGGAGAAGAGAAAGACAACATGGGGGTGGCTAGTGACGTGAAAGGAGAAGGGGAAGATGAGAAAGACATGGAAGTGGCTAGCGTCAAAAAAGAAGAGAAAGAAGAGAAAGGGAACTTGGAAGTGGCTAACGACGAAGAAGAAGAGGGAGAAGAGAAAGGCAACTTGGAAGTGGCTAACGACGAAAAAGGAGAAGAGGAAGAAGAGAAAGAAAACAACGACGAAGAAAAAAAGACAGTAGCAGGCAACTACAAAGAAGTCGCAATGTCAGATACAGGTAATATGCCAGTTGTTAGCGACGAGCAAGAAGTATTAAATGGAGATGCAGAAGAGGATGCGGAGGCGATCAAGGATGAAATCTTAGAGTTAATAATAGAGAACATAGAAAAAGACAAAGGGGAATCCTTGAAAAAAGGACATGACGAAGAGGCAATGTCAATAGTTCAGACAGAATTTGCTGGAATATACAATGGCATTTATGAAGAACAACATACAGATTATGAAACCTATGAACAAGAGCAACAAAACGAAATTGAAGAGGAAAGTCAAGTAAACAAATGTGTAGATAACTTCACATTTATTCTGGACATGGACTGTACTCAAGAGACTGATATTATATCTGGTAGCATACTCCAAAGTTCAAGAATGGCTACGTTTAAAGACGATCAGGTGGCTCCCTCCAACAGTTTTAACTCTGGCGAATCAGAGTCTGACATTAGGCATAACGCTGATGAAAATGAAACGTTGACTCCTTTAAACATTGAGGAAACCGATCACAGATCTTTCTCTTACATGAAGACTATGCTTAATGAATTAGTTCGTATCTTTGAAAGCAACGCCGAATTTTATAACGCAGTGAACAAGACAGTAGTAGACAGATTTGAAACTCATTATGCAGATTTTAATATGTTATTTTCAGCCTACGAAAACAGATCAGGAAACAGTGGGTATATCCAGATGGGTAAATCTGCGTCTGGCGCTCTAGATCTTCAGGTTGAAGGCAGTAGTTCAGGCCCAGCAGATGCTGCTGCCAAACTAAAAGATCAAAATCGGAGTCTTCAGGTCTGTTTAGAAAAGGCCAGATTAGCTAATACTCTACAGACAAAAGTAGGTCACATGAGAAGCATGGCCACCAATGTTGCCGCCATCAAGGCTTACGAACAGACGATCGCAGACCTAGAGAAAACAATGATGGATTACCTACAGGTCTATGCTAAGGAAGCTATTGGTAGTGTCTCTGATAATCTTGCTAAGATTCAACAGAGCAGTGGTATACATATTGAGAGTCATCTTGACAAAGCAGAAGTTATTAGAAGCAACACGTTGCACAGATCCGGGACATTTGTACTTAAAGAAACATGTGCCGCTAAGCCACCAAATATTGCTAGGCGCAGAGACACCAGTGTATCTCTAGCTTCAGCATCGTCAGCGAAGCCTTACGCCTTTGTCAAAGAGGTTGAAGAAGATGGAGATAAAAGTGAAGAGTCTCAGAATGTGCCCCACCCTTCACCAACATTTCTTGTGACTGAAGACAAAATTATTGCCGATACCTCTACAAAGATGCCAGAGCATTCGCTAACTAAAAGTAAGCGCCATGATGCGGACAGCAGTCGGAGCCGCAAGAAAAGGAAGACTCAGCAGACGATGAAAGGTCCAAGCTGCCTCATCAGCGATCAAGACTTTGACAACGAGTCTTCTGACAGTCTCTCTGAGGCCAAAGAATCGCGTAATTTAACCTACACGTCATCACTGCTAACACAGTTACTGGATTATAACTCGGCAGACGAATCCAAAACAAATACAGAAGAATCCAAATCGAATAAACTGCCAGAATCGACATGTTCTGAACTTGTAGATTCTGCTTCAGAAAATTTAAAACAGCAGAGAGCAGCAACGTTTAAGCATTCAAAAATTCTTAAAGATAATGCAGCTTCCAAAAAGGCCCTAGCTTCAAACGTACTATTCAAATCTCGATGGATGAGCCTAAACGATGACGGCGACAATGTCCAGGCTGCTGACCAGAAACCTGACTTAGACAAAGATGGCACGAATGTAGACATCCCTTGTGAAAATCCACTGAGCGAAAGCCTAAAAAACGTACCCAAGCACATTCATGTTCAAGAAATGGACAATCAGGTACAGCACGAAACAAGAACCAAAACTACACAGGCAAGCAGAAAGCAGTGTTTAGCAGACATCACTGTTTTGTCTCGAGTACCCGATATCAAACGCATAAACTCTGGAGCAATACCTAAAGTAGTTTCCGGTTCGTCGCACCATGAGGTAATTAGCCCCAGCGGATCCCACCCTACTGGCAAGAGCAGAAGCGTGTACAAACCTTTGCTAGAAACCTGTCAAGATGAAGACGTTACTAACAAAACAATGTGTCCTACAGAAAAAGAACATGTTGTTAGTAAACAACCTCCAAGACGTTCTCCAAAGCAGTATTTTCTGGGTCAGCACTCTCACAAACAGTGGCATCAACCCACAGAAGACGCAGACGACGTGCCCGGAAACCGAAAGCAAGATATGCTCCTGGCCAAGCTAGATTGGTCTAGCAGTGACGATGAAGCGGTTGACGATGTGCCTCGCGATGTGAGCCCTTCCTTCCTTCTCAGGCAGAAACAGAAGAGAGACGTTGACGATCAGCTAGAACACTTGAATCAATACTACAGCAGATCCAGGAAATCCAGGTCGCCATTGCGACGCACAGCTACATCTAATATTTCACGCTGGATAGAAGATGTTCAAGGTTCCTCCACAGAATACATGCACGTAGAAGCTCCAGACTTCTTCGCCGACACTTTTCCACAGCCATTTCGACACAAATGCCAAGTCCTGTCTGGGAACTCTGATGACGATGCAATAACCCCAGAAAACTATGAAAAACATGCAAATAGTGATTACGCCGTATTTGTGTCACCTTCTCAGTTACTAGAAGCAAGAAATCAAGAGGAAAATAATGCTACAGAAAATTTAGAGTTAAATGAAAAGGTAAATGAACTAGCAGAGAACCCAGACTCAGTTCTAAGAGCAACAATGTTCAAGGACGATCAAAGAGAAACACGTTCACGCGAAGAAGGGTCTAAACGTTCCTGGTCTGTTAGTTCCACAAGCGATGAGTACATCCTGTCTGACACACGTAGTATCCAAGTCAATGTATCTAGAAATGACCTAGTACTTGATGCTCCTGAAGAGGTCAAGCCGGATTTAGAAAACTATGAGCTTGCACAAACCTCGGCGAACAAACTGTTTACTTACTCCCGCGTAGAAACATGTGCTCCCAAAGCAAGTCTTGCTGTTGGTGATTCTTCCTCCTTTACTGTGCTTATTAAGCAAGGAAACATCATAGAAAGAACATTTAAGGATCAGGCAGCCCCTGATTTGAGTTTTGATAACCAGGCAATACAAACGATTAAAATGGTGTCAGGAAGTATCGACGATGACTGTTTACCTGATGAACCTGAGGTTGCAGATTGTCTGCCACTCAATGCCTTCCCCTCGACTGTTAAAAGTAATGAAGACTGCCTTTATCACTATAAAAGAGAGGTTAGTACCGGACACACATTAAGGGAAAGTGAGGTCATGTCTGCTGTCGGTGCTAACCCGACAGGCAATGGTGTCAACCATGGGGCGCTTCGTAACTCTAGAAACAACAAATGCTTCAAGGATGTGAGTCAAGTGGAGAACGTCAGTGCTGAAGACGGTACTGAACAGACATCTGAAAATCAGACATTGGGAAAAGAGTTTAACAAACGTTTGAAAAATTCTGGCCCGGCCTACTGTGATGCAGTGTTGGGGGAGACGTATAGTGAGGAGACGACGGATATCTCAACCATTAGAGAAAGATGGAAATTGCTGGAAAATGGCGGAAATGTTGTGATGGCTATCGGGCCTGAGGGAAAACAAAATTCAAAGAAGTGTACCCAAAAATTGCCAGGTCTAAGCGCAGATTCTTCGATCACCATCAAAACTCACAGCGAGAATCTTATGTCCCAGTCGACTGGTAAGAACGATGTCCCGGAGGAGAGAGCCACAGATGTGAAGACTAACTTTCCGGATGCTTCGTCGCCTTATACTTTAACAGACGAGGATGAGCACACTAAGAGACAGGTTGGTGGTGACTTGCTGACAGAATACCAAGCCATAGATGCTCTACGGTATAAAGTCAATCGTCTGGAGCAAATGCTCCAACAAAGCGACATTAATACAGTCAACTTTTATCAACGAAATACTAGAGTCCATTCAGAAGAACCCGTGAAAACTTCAGAGACAGTAACTATCTGCCCACATTGTCCAGTCAGCGCATCAACGTACAACAGCCTTACCCGTAGACAGTTTCAGCCTCCCCCAGAACACCGGCTTGGATCTCATCCTTATTGCTTGGCCTCCACTGATCAGCACCTTCTCCAGCAGACACAGAGTTATAATGTAGGTCAGGTGTGTCTGACTGGACACGCGTCTTGTGTTCACCAGCAACGCGAGTCTCTCTACGTGGACACGAAGTTGTTAAAACCCAGCGACAATAAATCATCAAAGGGATGCCAAACGTCAGGCGATCTATCTTTAGACAAACCGCAGCAAAAAAACGAAGTCTGTGTTGATGCTTGCACTCAGTCTAATACACTGGAAGATGCCTCTGAAGAGTGCTTGATTTCATTGGAAAAGCAAGTGGCTAACATGCAGACTGACATGCAGGAAATCAAGCATTTTGTGAGTAAACTCCAGTCGTCATCATTTGATACTTATGTATGTTTTTCTCCACACTGTTCTATCATGCTTAATAATTTTCATATCATGAATGGAATCTAGTCAAGTTCCATTGACCTCTTCCATCAATTTTATCGTAGGGTTTGTCTTGCACTTCTTCTTCTTTATTTTTCTTCCTCTACTTCTTCTTCTCTTCCACTTTGCACCTATATGAAGTCTCGGGGGAGATGTAACATTCGTTGATGAGCTCTGTCAAGAGCACTATTAGGATTGATGTTCAGTTCAGTAAGGCTGTTCTTAATATCATCACTCCATATTTTATGAGGTAATCCTCTCCCTCTATACCCGTGGTAACGTTTTAGTGTGGCTCGCTGTGGCAGATAGATTACTAGAGCATTCTTGTTAGGTGTCCAAACCGCATCGTTTGTTGTTCTTTGATGACTCGTAAGAATGGCTTTATTCCTAACACTGGTCTCATTTCGTGATTTCGAATTCTGTCTTTTCCTAAAACTCGTGCAGTTCTTCTTAGGTATTTAATCTTTGTTGTCACAATTTTACGTTTATGAAAGTATGTAAGCGTCCATGTTTGAAGTGATAGCATAGCGTTGGCCAGAAAGTAGTTCTGATTAGATTCTCTTTCGTACTCCGGGGTATCTGCCTGTGTGTCATCGGGGGAGATAGTTGCCCTATTACTTGATTAGCTTTAGCATATCTCGAAATTAACTATGAAATGAGGTAGAAATGAATAATTTTATTCAAGGAGCGCAGTGGAAGGGCAGAATGTCTAAGTTCAGTCGGGTTGTTGAGCTATGATTCTGTCTTGAACAGTCATTTGTTGGGTCTCTAATTAAAATAGACACTCGACCTGAAACAAACAACGTACTTACTTACATAGTCGCTTCTTTTCTAATTTGGGGTGTAGAGGTTTGACAGAGAGATCGCCAGACTGCTCTATTTTCTAGCTTTGTTCCCATTCAGTCCTTAGTCAGGTACTGTCGGATGTTGTCTTCCCAGCAGACCCCTGGTTACCCCAAAGGTCTGGTTCCTTATTTCTTAGCTTGTCATGCCTGCCATGGTGGCCGATTTTCTCACATTCTGCATACATGTCCAAACCATTTTAACTGTGACTGATCTACTCGGATTTGTAAGTCCTGGGTTTCAAGATGACATTTTGCCTGATTGCGGACTTTGTCCTTTCTTGTCACTTGGACCACCTTTCTTAGATATCTCATCTCTGAGGCCTGAAGCTGGCTACTATGAGCGGTTGTCATTGCCTGTGACTCACACCCGTAGGTAAGGACTGGCACATAGGTAGAGCGGTGGACAGCCATTTTCATCCTCTTATCAATTTTTCTTTTGCTAAGAAACTCTCGGTTTTTGGCCTGGAAAGATCTCCAAGCAGCTGCTTTTCGCTTAGCGTTCTTTATGCCTCCGTTTCAATCTCTCAGGACTCCAATGTCTTAGAACTGGTTGACCTGCTCTAATGCGTACTACCCCATCCTAATCTAGTGTTTCTTATCCTCTCATCCCTATTTTCTCAAGCTCTTCTTTCCAGACAAGTAAATTTGATTGAAGGTGTGCCTCTGATTTAGCTATCAGGGCCACATCGTCTGCAAAAGCTAGCACTGATATACAGATTGGTCTAATCTTCCAGTACCCTACTTAGTTTTGCCTTATCCTTCCACATCTTGATAACAACATCCATCATAAGAATGAAGAGGTAAGGTGAAAGAATATCACCTTGTCTAACGCCGCTAGTAGTCTTAAATTCTTCTGACTTTTGGTCTGCTGTTCTTATATAACTGCTTTTGTGGAAACTCTATATTGCATTGACCAGCTTTGCTGAATTGTTTCTCCTCGCCAAGCAGTCCCAGAGCTTGCTCCAGGAAACCTTATCAAATACGTTTTCTAGATCCCCAAAAATATAGGTGCATCTCACTCTTATATTCAAGCTCTTTTTCACTCATCTGTCTGAGTGTGAAGATAATGTATTGTTTACTTCGATTTGCTCTAGGTCCTCATCGGGCCTGATCCAGCTATGGTTCTGCTAGACTTCTAAATCTCTACTCACGAAATCTAGTGTAAACTTTGCCAGGAACGCTGAGGAGAGATATGCCTCTGTGGTTTTCACATTGTCTCTTATCACCCTTTTTTAAAAACAGGTATGATGATGGCAATCTCTCAGTCTTTTGGTATAGTTTTGCTACACAAGGCTGTCCTGCAGAACCTTCTCTTTAACAAACAAAAAAATAATTTTTTTGTCCTTGAAGAGAGGCCACAATAAATAAAATGTATCATCAGACCTCACGATGTCGTTTCTAGAATATGTGTGGGGTAAACGCTTCATAGAGATCCAGGGCTGCAGATGCACACCAGCCGTTTCCCTTGGAGGTTTATGGGTTTGTGAGTACGTGTAGCTTAATAGTGAAAGGAGTGACGCGGGAACATATTTTGTAGTCAAGACTGTTGTAGGTGACCGAAAGGACACATCCCCCGCAAGGTGAACTTGGTTTTTAAAAAAAAGCGAACACATGGTCCTGGGACAAAAACTCAACGGATTTAGAGGAGGGAGGCTCAATTTAAAGATGAACCTACGTGCACAAGCAGACGACAGAATTAGAGATGTGTGTATACTTAAAACAAATTATGAGAGAGGGTAGAGACTTGGATATAGTTCAAATCGAATTTCCCAGCCAATGCTTGGACTCCTAATCTAAAATGTGTGAGGCGTACACTATAGCCACTGTATTCCTCATCGTTATAAATCTAGATTACGTCTCGCAGCCAACTTTGTGTTTCATTCTTTGGTTATTGCAACTACGTCGAGGGTAATGGAAGGCATTCTAATGTTGCAGACCACAAGTACCAGCACACTTGTGATGGAACTGGACGAAAGAACGAAGAGCTTTGCAGCCATCACATCCACGCAGTTAGCCGCTTATTGCAGACTGTTAGAAGACTCGCAGGTTTTTAGTTCTCATCTCGCTCGCTCTGCTTCTGTCTGTCTGTCTGTCTGTCTGTCTGTCTGTCTGTCTGTCTGTCTGTCTGTCTGTCTGTCTGTCTGTCTGTCTGTCTGTCTGTCTGTCTGTCTGTCTGTCTGTCTGTCTGTCTGTCTGTCTGTCTGTCTGTTTATCTGTCCGCCTGCCTGCCTGCCTGCCTGTCTGTCTGTCTGTCTGTCAGTCTGTCTGCCTGCGTGTCTGTCTGTCTGTCTGTCTGTCTGTCTGTCTGTCTGTCTGTCTGTCTGTCTGTCTGTCTGTCTGTCTGTCTGTCTGTCTGTCTGTCTGTCTATCTGTCCGCCTGCCTGCCTGCCTGCCTGCCTGCCTGTCTGTCTGTCTGTCTGTCTGTCTGCCTGCGTGTCTGTCTGTCTGTCTGTCTATCTGTCCGCCTGCCTGCCTGCCTGTCTGTCTGTCTGTCTGTCTGTCAGTCTGTCTGCCTGCGTGTCTGTCTGTCTGTCTGTCTGTCTGTCTGTCTGTCTGTCTGTCTGTCTGTCTGTCTGTCTGTCTGTCTGTCTGTCTGTCTGTCTGTCTGTCTGTCTGTCTGTCTGTCTGTCAGTCTGTCTGTGCCTCAGTATTCCCAGATAGCTTTAATTCTTATTCATTGTCAATATTTCTCACTTCTTACTTCTCATTTTACCCCGCTTGCTCTCTCATTAATAATCTATTCAGTTCGATTGTGTATCATATCTTCTCCCATTCAAACATTCTGGTGCTCTCTGTCCTTATTTTTCTGTCTCCCTCTTCCTCTTTGTATTTCTATAACACACATTTTCTTCTGAAATTCTCCTTGCCCAATTAGCGAAGGTCTTCACGGGTCTTGACAGCAAGACAATCTTCTCTGAATTGACAAATCTTTGAGACCTGCCCAAGTTTATTTCATGAGTGAATTCTGTGTACTTTCAGCGATTTATAGATCGCACAATGATTATTCCCGGGAATTGGCCTAACTCACGTTGATCCAAGTTTCACCTCAGTGTACTAGGCCTTGCACGTCATTTCTCGTGATGAGTGTTGAATCTGTTGTTGATCCTTCTCATGATTTACCCGGTCAACCTACCTGTTCTCGGCTATCCTCCGAATAACGGGCGGTAAAGATGGCGGCCGCAAAATATCCTGACGAGCCGCAGTAACGTGTCAATGCCCACTAGCGGTCACGAGCACATCGCGGGAAAACTAGGATTACTGCCTGTTGACAATTTCGAGAAACGGAACAAACCGCCAAGTTAAACTCGCCGCCGAGAGTCTCCCACGCGCCGCTACGCGCGGTGGGGATGCGGCTAAACTAGATGGCTGGGACCCACAAGCAGCAGTTTCCGCATCTCCTGCAGCTTTGCTCGTGAGTCCTAGCCATCTTGTTTAGCCCCATCCACATCGCGTGGACAGAGTAACAAAACCTCTGTCACAGACCGTCTCCTTCTCAGAAATAAAAATGTAAATATCAGACAACAACAGACTGGGACACCCATAACCTCGACCACGGTAGACTAGTCCAACCAACTCATCAATGGAATTGACCTACAACCGGTAGTGTGTAAATAGGGAGACCATCGTATAAATAACTAGAGATGCATTTACAGTTAGGCCTCACTTTATCGATTGCAAGGATATTTAGTTACTGACATATTCAAAAAAAAAAAAAAAAAACCCAGTTAGTTAGCTAGTTAGTTAGTTAGTTAGTTAGTTAGATGGGTTATCATCATTGCACTCCGGACATGTCCATAGGTGTTCAGATCCTCCCCTCAGTATAATCCCCAACGTCTGATGGCTAATAGTACCAGTTCTATGTTGATTAACAAGTCTTCTGGCGTGTCTGGTGTGCGTCTCGTTTTTTGCTGTGCCGATCTTAATTCCCAAGTCTGCCATTCTGGCGAGTGATGTGGAATCACTGCCATCAAAGTCCTCTATTCTTCCCATTTCTCTGAGGGCATTGATAATATCAGCATGATCCATAGGCTGACCGTCGGTAGTGATAGTGGATCCAGCCAACCTGTCAGCTCTTTCGTTCCCATCGACGCCTGCGTGTCCCGGAACAAAAACAAAGGTGATTCCACACACAGTGGACTTCTGTAATGAATCAAGCCATTGTCTTTGCACTGAACCTGTCTGAACCCTCTGGATCACACTCATTAAATCACTGACTATATATATGCGGGTGTATTTTTGTGCTTCAAGCCAGGCAAACGCTTGCGTCACTGCCATCACCTCCATCGTCATGCTGCTGATTGTCATGGAGAAGGCGCTGTTGGCTTCCTTGACTGTTCTGCCCGCTGAGCGTGCTGTGAATGCCCATGCGCTTCTTTTTTGGCGTATAACGGATCCGTCTGTATAGATTAGTGCATCTGCTTCGTCTGAATTTTCCCTGATCAGAGCGTTTACCTCTGCATTAACAACAACAGGATTCTCTTCTCTACATTGCCTATTGAGTGTGACAATACAGGAAATAAACAGTTATTGCCATAAAATGCAGACAATTATAGATTTCCACCATACATTTTTATGGGACGCAAAAATGAATCCATGCATTGCCATATTACACTATATTTGAGACTTGATATAAGGCTTTATTAACGCATCAATGGATTTTTTATTTTAATTTGCATTTAGCTGTCATAGTTACATAAGTAAATACCAAAAACACAAAATTTCATTAGCATCCCTACAGTAGAATTCTGACTGTAACAGCTTTTTCAATGATTTGTTTTGTTCGCGATCGAAACCCACTGCGGGCTGTGTGGAATTTTATCGTGGTATGGGACGTCGCAGGTCGACCCAGCCTCAAATGGGTACCAGGATGGCTATACTGGGGAAGTAAAGATGGTCGACGTAATGCTGACCACATCACCCATCCAGTGCCGATTGTTCTGTAAAAATATGGAACGCTCTGCCTATATACCCGATGCGCCTTAGGCGTTATAAGGGATCTTTACTTTACTTTTTTACTGTTCACTTCTTTACATAACTAGACGGCCATATCTGCCAAGCTAGAACACATGGAGCAGAATCTGCACGACCAGAGCAACCTCTCGAGGTTGATCAAAGAGTATATCACTAGGGCCGAGAAAAACTCTGAAACAGTAATGGAGACAGTCAGAGCTGAGCACCAGGTGACAATAGCAAGGACAGCTCAGGTAAGTTGAGTTAAACTCTGAAGGATAAATATCATTGCAAAGAGTTGTAACCCATATGGCTGTGTCTTTCTCTCCGCAGAATACCCAGATGCCTGCCGAGATTGTTGCACAAAGACGAACTCTAGCTGTCAACTTTAGGGCAGATCTTTCAAGATGTCAAATGTTCCAGTTTCCCTCTTTTCATAATGGGACGAAAATATGATGACTGTCTTTCTGATGTTTGTGATAAGCTGTTTTTGAGCTCCTGCCTCATGCAAAACACTTGTTGGTCGCTGAGTAAATTACATATTTTAAAAAAAAGTTCATATTGAAGAAACAAAAAAGAAAATATCATCAACAACAACAACAACAAAAAATAAGAAGTAAAAGTAGTAGAAGTAAAAGAAGGAGAAGAAGAAGAAGAAGAAGAAGAAGAAGAAGAAGAAGAAGAAGAAGAAGAAGAAGAAGAAGAAGAAGAAGAAGAAGAAGAAGAAGAAGAAGAAGAAGAAGAAGAAGAAGAAGAAAAAGAACAAGAAGAAGAAAAAGAAGAAGAAGAAGAAGAAGAAGAAGAAGAAGAAGAAGAAGAAGAAGAAGAAGAAGAAGAAGAAGAAGAAGAAGAAGAAAAAGAAGAAGAAGAAAAAGAAGAAGAAGAAGAAGAAGAAGAAGAAGAAGAAGAAGAAGAAGAAGAAGAAGAACAACAACAACAACAACAACAACAACAACAACAACAACAGCAACAACAACAACAACAACAACAACAACAACAAGATGAAGATATAGAAGAAGAAAATGAATTGACAACTGTTTTTGACTAGAATAGTAATTCAAAGCATTCTTCTATAAAACCACATCTCTTAGGCCTCAAGAAACAGTTTTGTATGTTTGTTAAAATTCAATGATTTACAGATTTAAAACTGGTTCTATATAGTATGCGCGAATTCTTTAAGACATCAATGCCATTTATCCTCCACATCTTAAAAAAGCTTTCAATAAAGGCAGTAAAGTTATTTTATTCAAGTATAGACTGTCTCTAGGTCTCTTCAACCTGCTGTTTATACATCTCAACTGTTATGTGATATTAAGGTCCAATATTCCTAAAGGTGTGGAAAGGGGTCATTTACTTTTACTTACCCTTTTATTATCAAGTAAATATTAACATTATAAATTCATCTCCCCTGCAGACAGTCAAAGAAGTGATTTCACCGATGCAAGAATCTCTGTTGAATCAACAGAAGGAGTTTGAGAACATAAGGTCAAGTCTGGAAGAGGTTGTGTGAGTATCTTTTTTTTTTCACGAGCACTAGTTGCCCCCCTCCCCCTCCCTGCCCCCCCCCCCCCCCCACTAAAAACGTATAAGTTGAAATAAGAGTTTTGCTGTAAAGAAAATTTTACCCAAGTTTCCGTTTTTAAGTTCTTAACTAGATGTGTGCACATGGGACATGAATGATACAGGTATTGAGGTAGACGCATGGGAACGAAATGCCATGGACCTTGTTGTGTGTAGGGGGCACACCAGGAAGGAAACGAGAAGGAAGGAAGAAACGATTGCAGAAAGAATGAGAGCTGAGAGTCTGAGGGGGAAAAAAAAAACACTAAGCGCAAATGTTAACAACAATGGTCCCAAAATCCCATGCTATAACTGTGAAAGAGTATTCTTAACGCTGGCAGGTCGTGCTAGTCACACTCGCCAACGCCATGGGCTGTAAGTGCTATGCCTCATCAGAGCAGTATAACACTATAGTGTTGAAAGACGGAAAAGTGCCAGTTATCATGACTAGGTATTAGAACGTTGTGAGTGCATAATTTCAGACCTGTTTATTCTAAGCTGTCGGCTCTGCGGCTAAGTCGATGCGAACGCTTCGTAATGCCGGGATGCCGGGTTCGATCCCAGTTGCGGGCCATGCACCTTGCATTCGTTTCGACAGTGGGATCAAAAAAGCTGGCCGTCCAGAAAGCAATGGCAAACAACTGGACGTAAATTTCACTAGAAAAACTACACAGCAGCCATAGGCTGTTGGGGTTGGTTCTGCAACGCCCTGTAAAGGATACGCAACTAACCTTTTATTCTAAGTTAGAACAGTATAGCAGACGTGTAAGTCAGTTTCGCGCCAAGACGGTTAACGGGCTATGCCTTCTAGTATGTTTATAATATAATACTTATACACCAGCTCTAACGGCTTAAATATGATTTTCTTATTTACAAACTGATCAGCGGTTGATTCAGGACCCATTTCGACTACATTAAACCGTATTGGTTTATATTTGCGATGGCTCTACATACCTGTCAACTTTACTTCCCAGAATATTTTTAGCAATTGTTTCCCTGTGAACTGCAGGCAGCTTAAACTAGCACCCCTGTCTGGACGAGGTTTCGAATCGATGGCCAATGGGCAAGTTAACAAGCAATATAGTCCGTTTACAAATTCGTGCAGCTGCATTTTCTATTGATGGAGTTTTACCGTCGGGGGCAAAATTAAACATGCCAACCTGCACAGTCAGTAGCGTCAGCACCAGTCAGGGGGGACAAAATCCTCAGGCTCAAGAACCCCCCCCCCCCCCCCCCTCCCTTTTCCCCCAACCGTCTACACCTCCCTAAATTGTGTTACAGCCAGACAGTAGTGACAGTATTTTCGATATTTTCTCGGTAATGACTATTCCTGCGAACATGACTTTTTTTTAAAGACTTATATTTTCACAATTTCACAATGCCTACGGGAATAACCCTAACCTTAACCACTGAGGTTACACCTTTACAACTTGTGTCGAAACGTGAAAACGACCGAGCACACTCATTTTATAACGCCTAGCAACATTTGCAGCGCAACAGTTGTGGCCTTATTCAGAATTGACCTGAAACACCAGAAACAGTGTTTTAATGAAAAACTAATTAGTTAAATTTTACTTTGTGCTGTATAACTCCTAAAAGACAATACATCAAGACTCTTGGTATGTATCTCGAATAGGCAAAACTGTATTATTTTTTTGTAGGAGTTAAAAAAAGTGTTTCGTAACGCTGAAAATGAAGTAATAGTATTATATAATTTCATCTATTTAAATTGCACTACAACTAAGATATAAGTTATTTTAACATTGGCACGGATTTGTAAAAGCACTATAGCTACTATGTCACTAATATGTTTGGTTTGAAAGCTAACGTTATCTTATTTATACCATACAGGTCCATGCTGAACGACAAAAGACCTGAGCCGAGCAAGAAAGGTATGAACCACGAGTCGATGAAGGAGAGAATCGTGGAGCTGACTTCTCAGAGAGATGCGGAGAAGGTCTTCCATAGAATAACTCGACAAGCTCTACGTGCGCTGGAGAAGGATCATGACAGGCTCAGGCAGGAATACGTGCGCGCGACATGCCGACGCTACAACACTAATGAGAGGTTGGTATTATGTATGTATGAGAGATAGATAGATAGATAGATAGATAGATAGATAGATAGATAGATAGATAGATAGATAGATAGATAGATAGATAGATAGATAGATAGGTAGGTAGGTAGGTAGGTAGGTAGGTAGGTAGGTAGGTAGGTCGGTAGGTAGGTAGGTAGGTAGGTAGGTAGGTAGGTAGGTAGGTAGGTAGGTAGGTAGGTAGGTAGGTAGGTAGGTAGGTAGGTAGGTAGGTAGGTAGGTAGGTAGGTAGGTAGGTAGGTAGGTAGGTAGGTAGGTAGGTAGGTAGGTAGGTAGGTAGGTAGGTAGGTAGGTAGGTAGATAGATAGATAGATAGATAGATAGATAGATAGATAGATAGATAGATAGATAGATAGATAGATAGATAGATAGATAGATAGATAGATAGATAGATAGATAGATAGATAAAGAGAGAGAGAGAGATAGGAGAGAGAGAGCATGAGAGAGCGTGAGCCTGTGTGTGAGAGACATAATAAAAGTGTGTGTGTGAGAGGGAAAGAGAGTGCGAGGGAGAGAGTTAAAGAGAGAGTGAAAGTGCGAAATAAAGTATGTGTGAGTGAGAGAGAGAGAGAGAGAGAGAGAGAGAGAGAGAGAGAGAGAGAGAAAGTGTGTGTGTGTGAGAGAGAGAGAGAGAGAATCAAATTTGCATCAAGGCGGAATTTTTTTCTTGTTAAGTGACCATAGTTTTCTGGTCGACTGAGCTTAAAATGGATACCAAGTAAGGTCCTGGGAAGTAAAGGGGGTCGTCGTGATGTTGACCACATCACAACCATTGAGTGCCGTTGAGTTTATAACAATGTGAGTCTATCATCCATGGCCCAGTTCGTCACTGATATACAATTTTTTCAAAAAGTGGTTGTCTCTCAAAGATACAACTTTAAAGACTTAATATTTTGAACAAAAAAGACACAAACAATAGACTGCACAATGTATTGCCTGGCATATTTCGCTGTATCTCGTCAGGTGCATACTACAGTAACAATTATTTAAAATGAAGCAAATAGCTGAATCCTAGAAACTGAAACACAAATTCGAGTACATTTCAAACTGTTTCACCAAGGTAAGCGTAGGACAACGACTATTTCTTTTTGCCTACATAGTCCCGGTTTCAATCTGCCAATCGCGGAAGCTTCCGCGTATCGAAGTAATCTACGGTTGGCCGAATTGTAAATAATTCGAAATGCATCATCCCTGTTAATGATGTGCCCGGAATTTGGAATATGGCACGCAATTGCTGATGATGAATTATTTAGACCAGTCACCTGATTCGTTGTTGTTGAGGTGTTAGTGTTATGCATTGCTTTCACCACCCATAGTGGAATATGTTCAGCAACCCGTTGCTCCAGTCGTCGATCAGTTCTGCCCACATATGCAGCGTTACAGGTGCATTTAAATTGGTATATTCAGTTAGATCTGGCGTACGTCGACACTGGTTCTTTTACTGGTGGTGTAGGGATCCTGGTGGTTTTAAATCTCATAACAGGCATGGCTGCGTAAAAGGTTTGACGGATTGCTGTTTTGAGTCGGTCATATATACGCTGCATGACGTCGTCTCCCCGAAACGTTAGATGTATATAGGCTAGTTTTTTTTTTTTTTTTTTTGCACCGACATTTCTAAGGTAACTGGTTTAGGCGGCTGGCAATGGCACATAGTAAAGCCACCTAGATATCCATTCGAAAGCAATGTTTGTTTAATCGTTTCAAACTCAGCTTTTAGCGTGTCGATGGAACAAATCTTCCTAGCACAGTGGAATAATGTCCTCACTAGACCACGTTTTTATTGCAAAGGTGCAAAACTGTTGAAATGGATGTATTGGCCTGTCCAAGTGTCTTTACGATAAACTGACCTTTCAATAGTGCCATCATCTCTACGTCTAATTAAAATGTCTAAAAAGGCCAAAGTGTTGCTAATTTCATGTTGTAGGGACACAGTGATGTTTTTGTGCATTTGGTTCATTTTGGTGTGAAACGACTATGCCTGTTGTTCGTTTGTGGCGATGATAAAAATATCATCAACGTAACGTCGGTAAAATACTAAACTACGTAATGAACATTTTCTCCCAGTATCTAAATCTTGTGCCATCTACTGGTCGTTTGTTTACTCACAGTTTTATATGCTTGTGTATTTTCAGCGAGGCTCAGAAACGATTGTGGTACTATTTAAACAACGAAGACAAATGTCCGCACAACAAAAATCACAGCAATGTACGATCAACAAGACGCCAGCATGAAGTGTGGTCGCCGCGAAGTTCCTCCGCGGACGATGATGCCAGCTCCTCCTGCTGCATGCACGAATCGTGCCCGTATGCCCATGTTTGCCAGAAAGAGTGCTTACAACAACAGCGGCCTGGTTACGTTGTTGAAGATGATATCAGAGAGTTTACCTCTCGTAAAAAGGACAACAGTACAAGATGTAAGAGTACACAACTTGTAAAATGTGCAGGCAATGTAGGGACCTGTTTAGCGCGATCTGTGGAAGGTCACCGAGGCGGAGAAGATCGACATAATTTAGCGGTGATGCATAATGATAAGTCGCCTAAGACGAGTAAAGTATTGCAGACATCAAGATTCGTGGAGCAAGATTTGGAGCTAAAACATACACGCAAGGACGTGAACTGTAGGACACCAACAATAATCACTGGTAACCAGCTGGATAAAAACGCTGATGCTTCCACTGAGGACATTGCATGTAAATGTTCTTGTTCGGACAAGAAGAACAGAACTAAATCCCATTCTTAAGAACTTTTCTCTAGTGGTTGTTACCTAAGAGGCGTTTTTGTAGATGTCCCCTAGTAAACGATTTTTTGCAGACCTTCTTCAGCAGATGCTCGTCAGATGACGCTCTCCAATATATTTTATCATCAGACTTTCTGTAGCAAATCGTTTCTTTAGTAAATACATATCCAGATATTCTCTAGCAAACAGTCTGTAGTCAAGTTCTCACTTAAATGTTCTCTACTTGATGTTCTATAGTAAAGAATATGTAACCCAAGTTCTACCTCAGACTTTCTCTAGAAGACTTTCTACTGGATGCAAATTTTAGAAGGTGTTCAGCAACATATATCTAGACAAAGTTCTCTAGCAGATTGTTTTTAGCTATGTTTTCTAGCAGATGTTCTCGTGCAGGCATTTTCCAGCAGAAGTTCTCTAGAATAGAATTATTTAGTCTTTCTTTATTTCATTTAGGACAGGAAAAATGTAAGAAATATTTCGAGTTCCAGATGGTGTTAAGAGCAGGTAAGTAAGTAAGTTGTACCTCACCAGGACATCACACAAGCGATAAACACCCGGTGACACAAAGTGCCACCATGCGGATGAGGATCACCCGTCGAGAGGTCCCGGAAATCGCCACCTGTGTTAGGCCATACTTAAGGCCCAGCTATATTTAGGGTCCATGGCACAAGCCAAAACAAGGCTTAAAAAGAACTAAAAATGACATCCCACAAGGGGATAGCGATTGCTGATTCAATGATGACGTTAAGACTGGAGTAAATCGAAATGTAAGTAGCATTTTATTTATTGAATGCAATGTTATTAATATTACATGTCTTAGCAAATGCGACATTCGCTCTATGCTTAGAGTTTACAAATATCTGACAAGGGATACAAAGCGCTGCAGTGACATCAGTTTAGTTGCTCCTCCGTTTAACTCTGCTGTAGTCCTAAACGACTGAGTGAACATTTTTGGTGATCACCACGAAATACCGGCGGACTGGCACCAGTCCACAGGCTACACGGTGAAGGTCAAAGTCCGAGTATACGTTTTTATTAGTAGACATTCTATGCATTAAATTCTCAAACGAAAGTTCTCACGCAGACGCTCTTGAGAAGACTTCTTCGAGAAAACATTTTCCAACATAAATCAAAACCATGAACTTTGATCTTACGTCATACGGTAGATTATTTTACAGATTAATATAATAAATAATTTATAATGTTTATCTTTAACCACATTTTTGCCCAGCGATTGACTGGCAATGTTTTGTTCAGCTTTCTTTATGAAGTTTTCAACTGCAAGCACATTGTGCTAACAAAATTGCTCGTAATTTGCCCTTTGTATACACACATGTATTCTACATAATTAAAATAAGTTTGTGACGCCATACACTTAAAATAAAATTGCTGAAATTAATTGTTTCCCTCCTTTTTCAAAGTTTCAGTTTGTCTTTTTTTGTTCTTCGCGGTTACCAACTGTAAGCTCCGGTGGGGAGTTCTGGTTCTTTGACTAAGAGTCTTGTTCCAAAACTGGAGTCATACTTGCACATCTGTTTTACAGATCTGGCTTAAACATAAGCAGACTGTTGGTTCCTTGCCTCTCAAGCCGCTGCTTTCCGACTCTGAAGTAAATGGTTTCTCAGTTTGAAATTTAAGTAATAGATTTTTTTCCCCTAATTGTAACGGACTTACTGTGCATGGTTCGGGAAATAGAAACTGGTGTCCCACGAGTAGAGTGGTTTGCATGGCTTGACCAGACTCAGATCAGAAGCCTTAGATTACTTGAATGACTTGGTCATACAGATGAGGCAAGACAAGAGGACTTACCTGATCCGTGATTCTGGTGATCGAAAAGGATAGAGAAATGAGCCAGTCTACTTTTATCTGTGTGATACTAGATGATGATGATGATGATAAAGACGACAATGATGATGATAATGACAATAATGTTGATGAGGATGACGATGATGATGATGATGATGATGTGCAAAAGGGGAGTTTTTACAGAACCTATCAGCATCCAGTTGAGCCAATGCGGTGTAATTCGAACTAAGCACACTTGGCTGTCGGCTATATCTTCCGTTTACCTGATCTTCATTTATTGATACACGTTCGTCAGCTATTCTAGTGAAAGGTTTGGCGGTTCGGCCACTTCTGCACTTTGGTTTTATTCCAGAACTTGAGTTTTACATTTACATCTGTTTTACAAATCTTGTTCTTTTGTATGCAGACTGTTAGTTCCTCGCCTCTGAGGCGCATACTTCGAAGGAAACATCCTGATTAGTTGCTTTTACGACATGCTTGTTAAGAGGAAGTGGGCATGCCCTCCCCTCCCCCTAAATGGGTGCCAGAAACCCACACGAGGAAACGATTTCCCATACAAGCTACACGTTTTATTATCTGGCTCCCAAGAAAAGTAAAGTCGGGAGATGTGAACCAGCGTCATTGCACACGGATATAAACCATAAGTGCTCTGCCACCAGTATGGACAACTGATAAGAATTGTCCGCCTGTTTCGCCGTTCGCACGTAACTCTGTAGCTACAGCGACGTTCCTCCATTTACCCTATTTGAAAGCGACCATCCTATCGACTGCGCTAACACGGCCCCCTGCGTTGGCTCAGCGATCCAATTTTTAAGATAACTAGAACACCTTACGCACACTCTCCTTATAAAGCATGTCGTAAAGGGTTTCTCACTAGAGGTTTGTTGAAACAAGATGTGTCGGGTCGAAAGACGCAGACATCAAAGCCTCCTTGTGAACCACAATACAATGTGCCAATCACCCTTCAAGTTCCAGCGCAGAAGACAAAGAAATGACCTGGCCAGTTGCAAAGTGATTTTTGTTTTTTAAACAAATGTCAGGTAACATAATTTAGAAAACACTTTCTTTAATAATGCACCATATATTCACGTACTGATTGTCCTAATATATTCATTGTCATCTTCATCACCACCATCATCTATTTCCCCTTCTCTTCTCCCGTTAAGCGTTATGGGGAGTAACAGTTTGCGATCCATTGCTTGATGGGCTTCAATGGGTATTGTCATTCCGTGTCGGTATAGAAGCTTTTGTAATATTATCAATCCATCTTCTCCTAAGTCGACTCCTTGCGTTCAAATCACGTGTAGCGACTGTGTTGGTAGTTTGTATGCCTGCATTATTACTTTATAACCAAACCATTTGATATTCTGTTGATCAGTTAATTTGATGCATGGCGTTGTTCCCCAAGTTTGTCTGATCATTCCATTTTTAATTTTGTCTCGTATGGCGGCGGTTTTTTTTTTCTGCCATCTCATTTCACATGTGTTAATTTTACATTGGTTAGCCTTCGACAATGTCTAAATCTGGCACTGGGAACTCAGTGTTGGTGCTAATCAAAATATGAATCCTGGACTCCATACTTTTGTATGGATGTCCTAATAACGGTGCTAGTCGGTATATAAGTGCCCTGGCTCGATAGCATCTTGTTTCTATTTCCCGATCTATTCTCGCGTCAGATAAGTTCCTCTCAGCCCTGTATTTAGCGGACTCGGAACACTACTGACCTGGATAAGTTCCTCTCAGCCCTGTATTTAGCGGACTAGGAACACTACTGACCTGGATAAGTTCCTCTCAGCCCTGTATTTAGCGGACTAGGAACACTACTGACCTGGATAAGTTCCTCTCAGCCATGTATTTAGCGGACTATTCACACTTATATTTAGCGGACTGGGTACACTTATATTTAGCGGACTAGGTACAATTATATTTAGTAGACTAGGTACACTTATATTTAGCGGACTGGGTACACTTATATTTAGCGGACTGTGTACACTTATATTTAGCGGACTGGGTACAGTTATATTTAGCGGACTGGGTACACTCATATTTAGCGGACTGGGTACACTTATATTTAGCGAACTGGGTACACTTATATTTAGCGGACTGGGTACACTTATATTTAGCGGACTGGGTACACTTATATTTAGCGGACTGGGTACACTTATATTTAGCGGACTGGGTAAACTTATATTTAGCGGACTGGGTACACTTATATTTAGCGGACTGTGTACACTTATATTTAGCGGACTGGGTACACTTATATTTAGCGGACTGGGTACACTTATATTTAGCGGACTGGGTACACTTATATTTAGCGGACTGGGTACACTTATATTTAGCGGACTGGGTACAATTATATTTAGCGGACTAGGGACACTACTGACCTGGATAAGTTCCTCTCAGCCCTGTATTTAGCGGACTAGGAACACTACTGACCTGCATTACTTTATTGCCAATTCAAAGTTTTATTTAAAAAAAAATAAACTTACTGCAGGCATCTCAAGCAGAAACTGACTCAAGCTAAGACTAATATGACACAACCGTGACATCACAGTATTGGTGGCAGACCCACTAGTGCCTCTTTACCTGTCAAAGACTTGCTTGTCTAAGGTGAATCTTTGAGGTCATACGAGATAAAGTCGGCACAGAACCAATTTTAAATTACATGCAAAGACAGCAGATAAAATGGTTTGCCCACTTGAAGAGAATGCCTTCTGATGCTTTACCATACAAGGTATATACCAAAAGAGGAGAGGGACGTAGAGCAAAAGGTGGACCAAGAATAAGTTAACATCAGACAACTCTGCGGCACCACGATGTGTCTATGGCCGAAGCAGCCAGACGAGCAAGAAGCAGGACCTTAGATTGCCCTCGACACCCGAAGCGGTAAAAGAGGACGTTAAGAAGAAGAAGAAGAAGAAGAAGAACAAGAAGAAGAAGAAGCAGGCCGGTGAAAGATGAATCTACTAAAAAACAGACTAACCGGAACGCCCATCACACACAATATTTATTCCAAAGAATGCGAACTCACACAATAAACATCAGGAGCAGAAGGTCTCCTTGTTAGGCCGCTCTAGTTTTCCAATCGCTAGACACACCTTTACACGTTCAAATAAATAATCTCTGAGCTTACTACTATACTCCCGTTAAGCGCTGTCTGGAGCCACTCTTGCCCGATGCCAAGAATTGTGCTGTACACG